AGATGACCTGCTCTGACAGCCAGACGGATTTCCTTCATTGATTTCTTTCAGGTCGGTCTCTGTAGCAGACCTAATGCAGCTTTACCTCTGGCTCTAGGTCCACCTGGACCTCAACTAGCCTGACCTAGCTACAGAATTCTGACAACCAAGACGCCGGCCAACATGTTGTAAAACAGAAATTTCATTTTAGGCTCCTAAATCTGCATCCAGCCAGTTACGTGACAGAGAGGAATTTAAGTGCCCACAATGACCAGCCAGTACAGTTATCAACCGAATTAAACATGACTGAAATTATGGCCACCTGTTTAGTGTTTCTTTTTAATAATGACATTTCATTATTCATTTGGTGCAGTCATATATGAATTATATCTTCCAGGATATTTCAGAACACTTTGGCAAGTCCTTGAAAACAGCACTGCAGTATTTCATGGACATTAAGTTTTGAAGCATCAATCAGCTTTCTGGAAAAAAATGCCTTCAGTCACATTACTCAAAATACATAATTTTTTAAGCGCCGAGACCATCAAAAAAATTGAATCCCAAGTATTCCCTGCCTGAGGTGTTCTGCTGGGTGAGAAAATCCTGGGAAGACTTCACAACATTCTCAGTCGTGTCCAATCCATAGCTCTACAAACTCAAGTATCAGCATGGCCATGTGCGAAAAGTATTAGAACGTGTTCTCAGCCAGTGCTGCACCCTACTGTATCACCTTCAGGAGTTGCTCCAGAAAATTCCTGTATTTTACTACTTGCACCTTAGCACAGGCTGAAGATCTGAGCGGTCAACTTCCCAGCTTTTTCCTTCCCCTTTTCTTCCTCTTGTAAAAGGTCCCAACTGGTCCCCAGAGTTCTAGGTGTCAACTATTCTGAACAGATAAAAGGGGCACACTTTCTAGTTTTCCTAAAATCAGCCAGGCTTTGTGAGGGATGGACTCCTCTTCTTAGATGGAAAGGTACCGCAAATGCAGGACCTGACTGGGAGAGCAAGTGAGGTGGGGGTGGGAGTGAAGTTACTGTCCTGAAATGGTGCAGCATTATTCACCACATCAGCTCCTTTTCACAAATTACAGCAGAATAGCAAGTGCATCATTACTGATTCAGGAAGCCAAAAGGCTGCTTCGTCATGAAATGATCTTCATGCCTCAAGCAAGTATTTTCTCTGCCCTAAATGCTTATTTATAATCTTGCTTAGAGAAAAATACAAGCTGTACTCCACAATAAGATGTGGACAGGCTGGAGGGAGTCCAGAGGAGGGCCACCAAGATATCAAAGGACTGGGAAGCCTGCTGTATGAGGACAGGCTAAAAGAACTGGGTTTGTTCAGCCTAGAGAAAAGGAAGCTTAGAGGAGATATTATCACCGCGTACCTGTACCTAAGGGGGAGCTACAAGGAAGATGGAGACTCCCTTTTCACAAGGAGGCACATGGAGAGAACAAGGGGGAATGGACACAAGTTGCTCTTGGGGAGATTCTGATTGGACATGAGAGGGAAATTTTTCACAATGAGAACAGTCAATCATTGGAATCATCTCCCCAGGGAAGTGGTTGACTCTGCCACACTGGACACTTTTAAGACTCAGCTGAACAGGTGCTGGGCCATCTTGTTTAGACGGTGCTCTTACCTAGAAAGGTTGGACTAGATGATCCTTGAGGTCCCTTCCAACCTGGTATTCTATGATTCTATGAAGTAAGAGCTCTGTCATATTTGCTGTAGACCTTAGGGGTTGGTAGTTCCATCATGCTGTGTACAGGCAATCAAGTGCCTGTTTCACTTTGGGAAAGATACTGTAAATGCTAAGCTACCTGAAAGATCATTCCTGGTATTGATAAAATCACTAATCAATATAAGGATGTTGTAGTATGTTTCACTATGTTACATCTTTTGATAAAGATGTTTAGATAAAAAAAAAAAATCTGTCTTTGAACTTGCCACATCACCTCTTGACGGGCTGAGGCATGACAGAGTATTTCTTTGAGATGGAAGGGTTCTTAAACAGTAATTTACGAAAGAATTCCAAGGTGCATGGACAGGTAAGGTGATTTCAGGGACGGAGCGTGAGCCAAATGAAAATGGCTAACTCTTCAAATGCACATGCAACAACCTACATAATGCCTATCTCCAGCACAACTGCTGTTTTCAGGTTGCAGGAAGGGTTAAAGCTTTCAGAAAGGCTCAGCAAAGCCAAATTAAGAGTTAACTGCATTCTCTACCCATATATTTAAAACATTAAGGTGGTTTTCTTGTTAAGGGTTACAACTCTTGTTGAGCATTTCCCAAGCCTGAGAAAATTCAGCATTGATTATCACAACAAACCAAACATATGTCTTGCCCTCCTTCTTCAGTACTTGACAGCTGAACTCTAAATCCTAACTAGATATCATCACAAACACAGAAATTGCAATTAAGCTCTGTGCAGTCATGTTCAAAGTCCTCAGATTTCCTTATTATCCTTTTTACAGTGGAGTCTATGGTCAATTGAAACAGACTGCCAAACATAATCCTAGTATTAATTAATGTAAACCCACTACATAATTACAAAGTGGCTCTCATAAAAATGATTCTGTTTACTGAGCACTATAGGTTCAGTACTAATTCACCGTTCTTGCTCTATTGAGAGATTGAACTGTGCTTGAACTTTTACTATACATACACCACATTTGAGGTGATCAATACTTAAGCTGTTCATTTGATGCAAACCATCTCTTTTTTCAACCCACACAGCCTGGCAAACATTTAAGCAGAAACGTAACCGCAAGGATGACAATATTGCTCTGAACTGTGCAATTCCAGTCTTGCACAGAGTTCATCTGCAAAAGGAAAGCTCAGTTTAGTTTAGTACCTGTTTCTGATAAGCCCAATCTGATATAATGAAAATTACAAATTGAACTCTAATAATTCTGTTCTATAAGACAATATTTCATACTTTTGACCAAGCTTCTGTAAACTGAAACAATTGGCTGTGATATTAATTAAAAAAATCTTTTATCTTTAGGTTTTAAAATCTGTAACACTAAGGGAGATACAGTTAGAATGGAGAATTATGAGACAAGGCGTAGGATGTTTTATGAAGAGTGGGTTTTGGTGCACTTTAAAAGATGGTTATACTGAACATATTTCAGGCACAGTTAATAACAAACCTGACTTAGAAACATAGAAACAATGTTTGTGGTAAAACAAGGCATGGCTGCATTTCATTATTTCAAGAGGTACTTAAGAAACTCCACTACTAATGACCGTGACTTCACATGAATAAATAACTGGCCTGCATTAGTGAAGAAAAACACAGCATGCTCAGATAAGGGGTGACGAGTAAAACAGAGATACTGGCTAGTTTCACGGTGGGCTTGTATTTGACAACAGCGCACAGGTCACATGAGGCAACTCCCACCCTCAGACCACCCACCGCGCTGTGCCGGCACGGCTGTTCGTGCAGCTCCACGCACACTGTAATGCCCTGTGACTGTTCAGCTCCCCGATCCAGGCTGTCAGACACCCAGGTGTGCGGGCACAATGCAGCGGGAGACCCAAGGGCACTAATGGTGTCCTACGGCCACTTCAGCTCGCTCTGCTTTCAAAGAAGAAGTGCTCGCATAACCCGTACCGGAACAGAAATCAACATTTGGGGAAGAGTGGCTGGAAAGTTGCCCGGCAGAAAAGGTCCTGGGGGTGTTGGTCGACAGCCGGCTGAGTATGAACCAATGCTGTGCCCAGGTGGCCAAGAGGGCCAACGGCATCCTGGCTTGTATAAAGAATAGTGTGGTAGCAGGAGTAGGGAAGGGATTGTGCCCCTGTACTCCACACTGGTGCGGCTGAACCTCAAATCCCGTGTTCAGTTTTGGGCCCCTCACTACAAGAAAGACGTTGAGTTGCTGGAACATATCCAGAGGAGAACAAAGCTGGTGAGGGGTCTGGAGCGCAAGTCTTATGAGGAGCAGCTAAGGGAACTGCGTTTCTTTAGCCTGGAGAAGAGGAGGCTGAGAGGAGACCTTATTGCCCTCTACAACTACCTGAATATTTAAAAGCTGGGCAGAAGAGGTGCTTAGGGACATGGTTTAGTGGTGGGATGGCAGCGTTAGGTTAACGGTTGGACTCGATGATCTTAAAGGTCTTTTCCAACCTCATCAATTCTATGATTCTATGATTTGGTTTCCTTCTGCAAAAAGTGATTGGTTTTACTGCTTTGATCTTGGTCACCCAGACTGACTCATCATTAGCCAAGTATTTTGCAAAGAAATCTTACCACAGCATTTTAAAAGATTAAGTAGGAAATTCTAGGACAAAATGCTCCCACTTGAATAGCTGAAAACCCTTGAAATCTCCTCAAATTAAGTTTTTATCTTTCCTTTCTTTTGGAAGATCCAAAAGTCAGTTACCTCTCATGCATTTTATTCCATACAGTGGTAAGTATGAATGGAGCTAGTAATATCAGTATTATTACTCCAGAGAAAATGTACTGCTCTTAGGGGAGGTAGGGTACAGTATTTCATTTGTTAATACATACACATAAAGTTTCCTTTACACTTATTTAAACCAGAAAAATGTAAAAAACCAAGAAAAACCCAGGAACCTCCCTGTAGCACTGAATGGAAGCAGGAATATTTTCACATCCACAGCCATACTCTGTGCAGCAAGCGCCATTCAACAGCAGCATTGCTCTCACTAACCCCATATACATGAGGACATTTCAACAGGATTACTGCAATGTCAGAACATTTCCGTAGGAGTTGAGAACGTACCCTATAGTTAGCCATTCCCTCAAATTCTTATTCTACTTTGTACTCCTGTTTTAACAATGAGCTTTCAAAATTGTCCAAGACATGACAGAAGGGTATTAATACTGTAAGATTTAGTAATGTTGTAGCTTAATAAAAATATCACATTATTTCTATTGATATTTCTTAATACATATTTCATTTTTAGTTCAGCTAATGCACAAGTCTTTTTTTAATCCTATGAAAATATCTGGTACATGAACAAAAACAGACGTGCTTTTTGCATACCATTAGTTTCTGCAAATTTCTGGATATCAGCCAGAGTTTTTAGCTCTTTCCTTGGGCAAGCTGATACACACAAAGCAAGAGACTTGATCTTCTGATGTACTAGATCTATGTTGCATGGATCCAAGAAGAACACATACCTACAGAAGAAAAAAAGGTAAATTACTCCTCTTTTAATTAACAATTACACTGAACAAAATCAAAGTCATTTCAAACTAAAGGATTTTGCCAAGGCTAACCGTCAGTCTACCCAGAAACACAGGAAATTTGGTATTATTGTAATTGTGTGGGTCAACAGAATTCATGTATTCAACATATGCACCACAAATATATGGATATTTATATACTTCTGGATCACACAGAAAGGATGTTTAACTCTACCAGACCCAAGCCCATTTAAATGGTGCTGTTCATAAAAAAAGCAACACTTCTATCATGCCTCTTCACAGATAGATCTAAACATTCACAAACAAAGCTTCTCTACAACCTTAAACTTGACTTCAAGATTCCCAACTTTTTCCAAAAAATCCCAACAAACCCCATAAGGTTATACTTATGCTGTAAAAAGGACAAAGTCCATGGCTATTTTAATGAGTACACATAATACTAGTAATTAAGAACAGCTTTTTGGTTTAGACTGATTTTCCACACCACTGGTCCATATGACTGAGCAGATTACTTCAGTGTTTATTTTGAAATAAAAATTGTTCAGATATTTCAAGTAGACTATCTAATGTTCAAGTGCAGTATTTTAAAGAGATTCCATTTGCTGACTTTCCACAATGAGTCACTGTTGTTGAAAAACCCAATGCGTGAAGTACGCATTACAGCTTCCTAGCTAACATCTTCTCCTGGCTATACACATTTAATGACAAATGCTACAGTATTACCCATTCATGGTGTAATACAGATGCAGGATGTGTTTCTATTCTGAATGAGTCTTTCAAAATCCTACAATTCCGGTGATACACTAGGCATTGAAATACTCTCTTCATGTTACCTAACATCATCATAGGGAAGTAACACCAAACCACCATATAAAATGCCATTTCTATTTTTACAGTCCTCACGATGAGAATTCATTCTGTAATCAGTAAAATCCCTTCCGCTCCTAGAAAGCATTTAGGTCCTGCCTGAACGCTTTCAGTGTATTCCTGTCTAACTTCCCCCCCCAGAATGACTGTTCTATTGCCCAGTCTCACTATACAAGAATTATTAGTACTTAGTACAGTCTTACTTCCTGAAAGTCCATCAAAACCAGGGTCATCTATATCAACTGTAATACGGTAATAGACTATGTGCATTCTTAAAACATTTTCTTTCCTTGTCCACACCTCTATGAAAATCATCCAGTACTATTTCTAGTTTTTTACTTAATACATACAACATATCTCAGGACTCCATAGATCATGGAAGTCTAAGAAGCAAGCGCATACATGAAAACTTCCGTCCCGCAGACACAGCCAAAGTAACTGCACATGAGAAATAAGCTACTAAATTCCACAGTTTTCCTTTATTTTGAAGAAAATAAGTTGGTATCTGGTCAAGGCAGCTGCAAACAAGAACCTACAGAGTCAAACCTGACTGACACGTGGTAAGGGAGGTTGTGATGGGAACAAACCTGGTCAGTCCCACTAATTGGTAATGATATGTGGAGCAGAATTCTTATCTTTAAGTAAGATTAACCAGCTAAGCACCTTGCCAAATTGTGATAAGGAAAAGGAGGGAGACATTCAGACATAAAACCTGATCAATTAGTGTTAATGAAAAGAATAACCACAAAAACGCCCAGTCAATCACAATAACTGATGGGCCATCAAGAAACTGCAGGCAGGGACTTTGCAACTGAGAAGGATGCAAACCTGAAGGTGCAGGATGCTGGAGGTGTCAGTGGGACTGTGCCAGCCGCTGAGGGAATGTGCATGGGACAGGATTTGGGGAGAAACAAAGAGGGGGGGCAGACAGAAAGGGGTGTAAAAGGGGATGTGTAAGCTGATGATGGTCAATACATTGGTCTGACTGCACTGGCACCTGATCGCTGCTATCTGTCCTATCCTTTCACTAAATCCTTTCCTAACTCTCTATCCGCATAATTCCAGTCTCTATCCCATGTGCACAGATGCTGCAAGGACGAAGTGCCAGCAGCTACTGGGTAGACCGGTATGATGGAGTCAGACCAGGGGTGTGGGTGCCCCAGGCCTGTGGTGTCAGCTACCAAAGTGAGTGGGGTCTCAGTGCCAGAGGTTGTAATGGGCAGGGAAGGGTCTCTGCCACCAGCCACTGGTGTGGAAACAATATGTGTCGCAAAAAACCCAGCTACAGAGGTGAAGGGCTCGGCTGGAGCAGGACTGTGGGTCACAGCCCATGTGGTGCTGGCTGCTGGCAGGGGCTGAGCATCTGCACCTTCCCCAAGGTGGGTGTGCGCATGTGTAACTCACCAACAAACTCCAGGCTGTACCAGCTGGTGAGTAGGAGGTTCTGGGTCCAGGCAGGTGGGTGGAGGGTCTGTGCTGGTACTTGGGGGATCCGTAAACATGCGTCTGCTTGTGAACCTCGAGAGGCTCACGTATGTGCCTGCACTAGTGACCTTCTGTCTCTGCCAGCCCATGAGGAAGAGGGGACACGGCTGTCTGTGCTTGTGGTTCTTTAAGTCCTGCATTGTGGGCGCTGTTGAAGGCAGTGCCTTGTCAGCGCCAGTCTGTGTAACCAGCCATGTCAGTGTCCCTTGTGTGTCTTGTCTGTCCACATCCCTCAGCCCAGGCAGAGACCCTGGGTCCTGGGACTCAGTGGCCAGACAACAGGCTCCTCTGAATGTCCCAGAACACATATTACCTCAGGAAACCAGTTCAGGAATGTTGGCATTAACAAGCTAGAATCCAGACCACTTCTACAGTGATTTAAACTCAAGGGCCAAGCTGTAATTTTAATGGCCAGAAGAAGTTAGAATATTTTGTCAAGTAAACACTACAATTTTAACTCACGCCTCGAAATTTAGAAATACAATAAAACTATAGTGCCATATGCAGTTTTGACAGAAGTGTGCTGTGTTGGCATACCTTTAAACAGACACGTGTAATTCAAACACTGCACTGCATGGTTCAGAGACAGTTCTGACAGCAATAAGGCAGCTGCAAAGCAAACTCCAAGCTATCAAATCTGTGGCTTTGTTCCATCATCTAGGAAGACAGAACTATTTTTTTTTTTTCTTTTTTTAATTTCTAGCAGCTAAAACAAGAATCAAAATGCTAGGCAACAGCATTACAGAGGAAAAGGTATTTTGGTTCTTGTTTTTAAAGCTTACTTATTGACAGCAAGTGATTTTACTGCAGAAAAACGCCATACTGTGTCACCACAGAACAGGTTTTGTTTCTCACTAGAAGAATGTACTCACATGCTTTGTGCTGCAAGAATGTACTTATATGCTTTGTGCTGCAATTTCAGTTATTTACAATCAACAATAGACTAATTTGTTGGTAAGAAAGTAACTTAGATCAGCAATACAAAGACTGAAGTAAACAAAGTAATCAAATTGTTAGAGATGCTTCAACACTGCAAATGAAAATTTTTTTGCTATAGGAAATTCAGTGTTATCAGATTTAGAACCTAAGAAGCATCTTTATCAATCTTTATGAAGTATCAGCCCTTCAGAGAAAGACTTGGGGGTGCTGGTGGATGAAAAGCTGGACAATGTGCGCTGGCAGCCCAGAAGGCCAATCGTACCCTGGGCTGCATCAAAAGCAGTGTGGCCAGCAGGTCGAGAGGAGGTGATTCTGCCCCTCTACTCTGCCCTGGTGAGAGCCCACCTGCAGTACTGTGTCCAGCTCCAGGGCAGAAAGACATGGACTTGTTGGAGTGGGTCCATAGGGGGGCCACAAAAATTATCTGAGGGCTGGAGCTGAAAGAGTTGGGGTTGTTCAGCCTGGAGAAGAGAAGGCTCCAGGGAGACCTTATAGCAGCCTTCCAGTACTTATACGGAGCCTATAGGAAAGATGCAGAGAGGCTTTTTACAAGGGCCTGTAGTTATAGCACAAGGGATAACAGTTTTAAACTAAAAGAGGGTAGAATTAGATTAGATATAAGCAAGAAATTTTTTACAATGAGGGTGGTGAAACACTGGAACAGGTTGTCCAGAGAGGTGGTAGATGCCCCCCAATGGAAACATTCAAGGTGAGGTGGGAAGGGGCTCTGAGCATACTGATCCAGTTGAAGATGTCCCTGCTTATTGAGGAGGGGTTGGACTAGGTGACCTTTAAAGGCCCCTTTTAAACCAAACCATTCTATGGTTCTATGATTCTTTGATCTTAACAATTCACTTTTCTAAAAATCAAAGTTTGTTAAAAGAACCTCTGAAATACAGCACGATATAAAGTTGAGTGAAAATAACTGCATGTAACTTTCAATATGTCTACCTCCTGTTGCCATAATAAAATTAGAAATTCTAAGCTCTCTTTAATTTAAAGATTATTCCTATGCAAAAAGGAAAATAACAGAAGAGTTTATTTAACTTTTCAAAAGCCACGGTGTCTGAAAATAAGGTCAAGTTGTCCATCTTGAGGCATGCAATTCAAAATTAACTTCAGTACAACATTTCACAACACATCATAACATTGTTTTTACAGATGTATATCATAATCTTCCTTATGCTTTACTACCATTTTGCGCTTATACTGCAATGTGTTTCTTTTTTCACTTCTGAAAGAAAAATCCAGATTTCTTGGCAAGTAATTAAAAATATAATTTCAAAATTACCAGAGGTTAAAAAACCAACCAAACAAAAATAAAACATCAACAATTTTGGCTTCTAACTGGTAGCTTACTAGACAAGTGTCTTATTACCTATTCATGCCCATGAGAAATACAGCAGTCTCCTCTTCCCTTGCCAAAACAGGAAGACAAAGCATCGTCATTTTGTACACTACACCTTGATTCTGGAAGGACTGTGGCAAAGCGTATGAACAAGCCTAGCTTACCTTCAAGTATTTTGTACACTCTTAACATTTGCCAGTGCCATTGATTTTCTGTCAGCCCTCAAGGCATCTCTTTATAAGCAAATGAGTACTTTATAGAACAACCATTTGCTGTGATCTACAAGCACCTTATCACAATAATGGAGAAGTTAATTAAGTGTCACACCCACTCTAAACAAATTATGGGTAGGGCATATACAGTTCCACTCAACTAAATTCTCTGTATGTGTGCTGCAAACTCTCCCTGGGTTTTCCTGCTACCTAAACACCATGCATTTTCCTGAGTCAAAGTCATTTATTAAGGTGGAATGCCACCCTAACTCTTCCCTATAATGGCACTCACATTTTCTTGTACTTGAGTGAACAGCACAACCTGAATTCTATCCAAGCAGCAAAGTATTGGTGATTAAAAATCAGACTGAACTAGCATTCCAGGGACTTATATTTGGCTGCCACGGTCATCATTTATTTGCAAATAAAAGGTAATTTTTTTAACCCTCTTATAACTGCCAGAACTTGAAAACCAAGAAGCTTATTTAAAGCAGATAGGTTTAATGAGAATTCACTGCCAGGACTAGACTATAATCCCATGTCTGACTCTAAAGCACAGCCTACTAAAGCTGTAGTGTGTTTCCTTTGTAAAAATAAAAAGATGCCTGATTCACTCTTTGTTGATGAGACCAGGCTATAAAATCCTCCTTCCCAACATTTCATCTCACTGATTTCAGCATATCTGATGCACACAGATCAAATCATATTTCTGTGAGGACTCTGCTCTTCATCACCCTCACCACCCAGATTTCCATATCCACACAGACCTCTGTTTCACTTCCCCATTACAGTGCCTATGGGTTGCTGTCATTTACAAGGAAGAAAATGTTATTTTTACAGATGATTTGGCTTTTCTGCCTCGGACGGGGAAATGAAGACAGAATTACCCTGCAAGCAGAATGAAATGAGAATAACTTCATGTTTCCAGAACCACATTTGTAGAGCTTAAAGCACTTACTTTCTCTATACAAACTGAAACGTACAGGCAGGAAGAAGAGTTTATTTTTACAGTCTGCCTGGAAAGTACTCCTGTAAAATAGCATGAAATACTCACATGAACTGCGCCTCAGACACTGCAGGAACTCCACCTGCTAGAGATAGACGCAAAGCAGATGGCTTCTTCTGAAAAATTGCCAGGCAAATTTAAAAAGCTATAGGGTGTGAGAGTGGGAAGGATCACTTGCTTGTAAAAGTACTGGCCTCTTTCAAAGCTGGGTACCCTGCACTGTACCAGGAACTTCACTGTGAAAAGTTATAGAATAGTCTGCCTTGGTGGAAGGTTTTCTCTCACTCCCAACCAAATGGAGATGATGATGATATCCCATATGAGTGTATCCATTCATTTGCTTATGTCATGCCTCAAGCCATGATACCTTTATTAGAAGAACATAATGCTTTTGAACCTTACTAAGACTTGGACAAGCAACAGGCTCTGCCTACCAACTGTGTTAAAAATATTCTCTATTTTTATTTGCTGGTTTTCAATCTTGCCTTTACAAGAGGAGATCACTTAGCAGTGGTAGATGTTTCTCCTCATGATGGCCTTGTTTCTGCCACATGTAGGAGACTATAACACTATTGTTACATTTCAATACAGTGTGTTCAGTTTCTCTCTGCCTTCACACAAGCTCAGATACCATTTCTTTCTAAAGGTAAGTTTAAAAATATAATTTTAAAATTTGTATTTTCTCTCACAACACAATAATGACAATTTTGTACTGAACACACCTGATTTTAGAAAGTGCTATAATATTTCTATAAAAAAGTAGGAAAATCATGCTGCCTAAGTTCTAAGCCCTTCAACCCTCCTGGAAGCTGTGATTAAATTAAGAAATTATTCTTTTGAGAGAAGAAATCTGTACAAAGTTTCAGGCTATTTTACTTAACTAAAATTCTTCTGGTAGCACACAAGTTATCTAGCCACATTAAATCTTATATCAGATATTTAGAAAGCTTTAGTATTGCAACTCAACATAAGCAGATCTTAGGAAAATATCCTTCCAAAATAATTCATGCAAACTATGGATTTTCTCTTAGTCTGAAAGTAAAGTGCGATGTAAAAGGCCATCATACTCAGAAATTTAAGGCTTTTTGGGTCTTTGAAGTGATCAGCAGTGAAAGAAACACCCTTGTTTGTGAATTAATACCACTGTTCTAAGGTTGCACTAAACAGTTTACTTTCTAAAGTCACCCAAGGTGTACAGACACACCCTGACTGGCAGACAGACCTCAACAGACCTTCACAGGTTTTCAACCCGTCAGTCCAGAATTCTTGTTACTCAGCTCCAGCACCACTACTGCAGTATATTTTTCTGTACAATAGATAGGAAATACCCATGCTGGTTTTGAGCTGTAAGTATGTGCTTTAACGTGACACTGCTTAATAAGAGCTGTGTGCTGCTTAAAAGTTGTGTGCATTTTCTCCATGAGCCACATTAAAATTTAAACTGTAAGCAGAATATCTAAGTCTTATTTTAATGTGTCAGATATATCGCATCTCCCCCTAAATGCAGTGGCAGAAAAAGAGCATACATCAAAAGCAAACCATTTATACATAGATATCTGAGAACACTTGTCATGCCTAAAACACTTAAACAAGATCCTTCAGTGGCCTCATACAGTCTCCTAGATGAAGTGGATTCTAAGAAAGGGAAATTCCTCTATGTCTTAGCTGTACTCATATTGCACATCTGTTAACATACACTTTCCAAGTACTGTTGCTGGTTGTTACAAAAGATTGGTGTTCTCTAGGTGAGAAGAGTGGAGAAGGACAAGTAGGAGTGAGTTAGCATATCCCCTTTCCCATTTTACTGAAAACCACTCTCAACGGAAGAAAGGTTTTGCCTTTCCCGGTTTACAAAACAAAGCAACTGATGCACATACTCACTTCTTGTGTGTGAGGTCCAGACCACTGTTGGCTATTCCCTCCACCTTGACATTTTTCTGTCCACAAATATTTCCATAACTGTCATATCCCGAAAGCAGTCTTGCAGCTGCTCCTGTAGCTATTGAAAAGCCACAGATAAAACCCTGAAGGAGAAAAAAAACCCCACAGTTTAGTAATACTCTGTTTGACAGCTGGGAAAAGTCAGTTTAATTCACGTGTTTCTAAGCAGAGGTTCTTTAAAAATTCTTTCAGACTGAAAAAGAAAAGACAAGGACCATCCACAGAGAACTGTTGTGCAATTATAAAATTGAACGCAAGCCAAAAGAGGATTCAGACATCTAACACTGCATATTATCTAAGCATATTTAAGAATCCTGTAGGTGGTTTTTTTGAGAGTCATATTTTCAGCAAGTGGTGCATGAAGCAGAAGGGAGGCCAAGGGCAGGCAGTGAAGGAGAGCTACAAGCAGAGCTGGAGTTGTCAAGGGCTAGTACGCATCTTAGACGATTCCAAACAGTCCAGTTTTTCTTGCTTTAAGATTCTTTTTTCCTTCAAATTGTGTGCTTTCAAAGATGAGCTAGAATGAAGAGGCCTATCTGACATAAGTTCTTTTTAAGGAAATCCTCTAAAGCAAGTGACCAGGTCAAGGCCACTGTGGTTCTAGACGCTGGATTCAAATGCAGGAAAGAAACAGACACAGAGCAAGAGAATGCAAAATGGCTCAGAGTAATGTGGAAAATACCCAATATCAGACAGGTCTTGTTATGAACTTTCAGAAATATTTCACTAGAAAAACCACGATCAAGGCGGTGGGTGATTATGCGAACAGGAGACTGGCCCAAGAAAATCATTAGCTCTCTAGCAACACCACTGACAGGGAGAAGTGAACCCTTGGCTCCCTCCCACTACCATCAATGAGCTGTTTTTACAGATGAGGCAAACTAGGATTTGAGAAGGTGAAGCAAATTAAACAGCTGAGACAAATGCGTGGAGCAACAGATGGCAGCAATGGGATCAGATGAGATGATGACAACAGGTAATGAAGTCGGCATGGAACAGTTAAAATGTGGGTGGTTTTAAAGGTCTGAAGATACAGGAGAGTGACCTTCTCTGACGGACAAGCTATCATTATAGAGAAATTCCAGACAGCAAGCTGGTCATTATCTTTCTCTTACCAATGCACTAATGCACTTACAGACTTAATACTCAAAGTGAAAACAAGGGCAAAATGAGCAAAAGGCTATCACAAGTAATAATTAAAGCTGATTTGCAGCACTCACTTTCAATTTCTTGGATCCCTTACTGTTCTGTAGCATGCATTTTACATACAATAGTACTCAGGTTCTTGGCTGGTTCAAGAATGTTTTTTTTTTACACACAGGGTAAGGGAAATAATGCAATTCCTCTCCCATCTAAGCTGATTTACAACAGTGCAGGGATGCCCTCCTGACCCATCATGGTAGCTGACCCTTCAAGTGAAGTCCCCTAGAAGAGTAACTAACAAGGTATTTGACCCAGTAAGATAATTGCTCTGCATATCATATTGCTTAGACAGGAAAATCTGGGACACTCGCCCACAGCAGACTAATTTATAATTGGGGGAACCTGTAGGTATAGACTGTGTAACCAGGGAACATCAACAAAGGCAGGAAAAAAACAACCACAAAAAAAAAAAAAAAAAAAAAAAAAAAAAGAGCTGCTTGTTTCAGGAAGTACTATGCTTTTTTACCATTTTAAGATATTCACATTACAGTGAGAATATAATTCACATCACTTAAAACAAAACATTATCATCTTGCATTTGAAGCACAGCCAATGACAAATACTTTGGGGAAAAAAAAAAGAAATTTTTGAATGGAGTAATCCCAAAGACCAGAGACAAAGGGCCAGTAGAAAAGAATGCTGACAGCACAGAATTGCCAAACTCATAAGGGCTACTGCTTGCAACAAGTACAAGACAGTGACAGACACTTGCTGTTCAGGGAAAACAGCATACGCAGGTCCATGTAACAAAACAAAATGAAAAGAAGTGTCTTTCTAGTTTTCACTAATCTGCAGCTCTTGGAGGTTTGTTTCTTTAATATAAATTGCACAGTGTTTGAGGCTGTCTTGACAAAGGTGACAGTGTCATCACACAGGACAAAGCTGGGATGACTTGGAAAGAAAGGTATTATCATTATTAATATGGTTGTTAACAGTAAGTGCTTCTACTAAGCATCCAAGAAAAAAAAAAGTCAACTGATTAACTAATTGATATTCAGAATCTTTGTCTCTCAGCAAAAAGTTTACTGTGATTCACAGAACCGTTTACCAGACTCAAAGCTATCATTCCATATCATTTTCAAAAAGGGTAGAAAGGAAGACCCTGGGAACTACCGACCTGTCAGCCTCACCTCTGTGCCTGGGAAGATCATGGAACAGATCCTCTTAGAAGCTATGCTAAGGCACATGGAGGCCAGGGAGATGATTCGAGATAGCCAGCATGGCTTCACCAAGGGCAAGTCCTGCCTGACGAACCTAGAGACTTTCTATGATGGTGTGACAGCATCAGTGGACAAGGGAAAACCAACAGATGTCATCTATCTGGACTTCTGCAAAGCCTTTGACACGGTCCCCCACAACATCCTTCTCTCTAAATTGGAGAGCTATGGATTTGATGGATGGACTGTTCGGTGGATAAGGAACTGGCTGGATGGTCG